CCATTCTTCTATTTTCTATTACATTTCTATTACATAGAAACTTGCACAGTGCAAATCAGGTATTTGAGTGAACAGAATGGAGAGCTGTACTTACTGAGTCTCGGATTAGTGCTGTAGTTTCGGATGGTTGCCGTTCGCTGGCCCGTGATCCCCTGATTCACGTCAAAAGGTAATCCCCAATAGGATGTAGTAAGTCGGCTATTAATTAAAGGTTGAAGAGAAAATAGTGAAGTAGAAAAGATGAGGAAGGGAAGAAATCGAAGAAAAAGCGAAGTAAGAATGGAGAAGGGGACTGAGGAAATATTTGTAATAGGTAAGAAATGTTGCCTCGGCTTTTAAGCGATCATTTTTTCCCGACCGCTGATTTTTGCGAAGTTTTTTTTTTTTTTTTTTTTTTTTGAGAATGTGCCTTATATTGTATTGCAGTATTTAATGTGACGGAAGGTGAAGCAACATGGATGATTGGGCACAATATAATTCGTAAAAATGATGACAATAGCACGTATAATTTCGTCGTTCGACTTCGTGGAATACCTTTTAATGCATCGGCCGATGATGTCAAGGAGTTTTTTAATGGTTAGTTCTTTTTTTTTCTTATGATTTCGGTGAAAAAAAAAAAGAAAAAATACTCGTGCTTTATTGCGATCGAAAAGTTGCCGAAACAGCTAAAATTTTGTCAAGTTTTTTGCCGATAAACTGACAGCTAAGCAATTTGGCATTGGTCCAAGTAATTGAATAGTTAGAGAACCAGTATTATGAACCATTAAAGCCAATATTATGAATTTACCAATTTGCCAGTATCGGAAGATTTCAAATTTGATAGAATAAAAGAGAAGGGCGATAGAAGCCCAGCCAAAATTGGTCATAACAAGCAGGATTGACGAAAAGGTCGGAGCTGTGAAGTGATATTTTACGGCAAAATATTTTAGTAAATTGTTTTCATTGCACAGAGGGGAGGGGTGGCTGATGAAAAAAGTACTTGCAAATCTTAAAATTTTAAAATTTTGAATTCATCACAGTATTTTGCTTGACATATATCAAGCTTGACATATGTCCGTACAGCAGCAAAGCTAACATATGTCCGTACAGCAGCAAAGCTAGGCACATTTACTGAGCCTTTTTTCCATTGACAGCGTTGATTTGGGGCTTAACTGAAACTTTTATTGTCGTTGGTTTGGGCCCGGAACTGCTTGTATCACATGAACTCAGCTGTCAGAATTGGGTTACTGGTTGCGTGGAAATCCTGCAGAATTCCGAGGTATTCGGTGTTCTGGCGAATGAGCCTGTGAAGGGGTCCTGAACTTTGTTTAGATTGGATAGAGAGGGGAGGGGGGAAAGAACTTTGTTTTGGGCTAGTTGGGGGAGGGGGGAAACTTTGTTTTAGATTGATTGGGGAGAGGGGGAGGCAGTCCCTTTATACGGTTCTTTGGTTCATTTCGATGATGTTTTATGTGAGAAATAATAACGGCCATTAGAAGGCCTGATCGTAACCTTAGAAGGAGTGGACAGTTCAAAAAAATCAAAATGTTGGACGATTGGAGTCAGAAAGTTAAAACGAAGGGTGAAGTCAGGCCCATTACCAATCAGCTTACTTTTAAAGCAGTAATGGGAAGGGGGAACCATCGACAGTTTTGATAGCAGTTGTTACCGAAGTTCACCGTTCTAGTCGTTTTTCGTGTGCATCTGTCTCTGACAGGTGGTGAAATTTGGAGGTGCTTTTGATTTCGTTTTGTAAAATAAAAAATGATTTCTCGGGCGAAAGCCAATGAGCGTGCTTGGTAAATGCTACGGGGGAGAGAAGGGAGGGGGAGGGGGGAAAGGGGGTCCGGTGTTTCATCGCACTCTAAGTGTATAAAATATTGAAGTTTTTTGAATGTACAGCGATGTAGAGCGGTTTTAATTATGTGT